GGCGGGGGGGGGGAGAGGGGGAAGAGAGGGTGGGAAGAGGGCTGAAGGATGAAGGGGGACACCACCATTGCTGGAATTATGTGTCCCCCCCAGATGGTTGGGCCTGCTTCCTGCACAAAACAAGAAAAGCGTTTGGATATCTATGCACGGCGGGTCGCCCTTTCTTTAGAGCTCTACGACTGCACATCAAAAAATGGGGTTCGAGAGGTGACGCGATGTGGAAGATGTATATATGTTGTCGACCGCCTTCATCCTCACCTCCTTCGTGCTGACCGCCTCGGCGAAGCTGGCGATCATCGGCGAGTACCACGGCGAGTATAGTCCTTGCAGCTTCCACCAGGTCGTCGTGACGGAGACGGAGTTTCGCGACGCATACCTCCCGAATCCCGACAGTGTCACCAACATCACGCAATACGACAACGACGAGAAATACTTGGTCGGCCAGAACATCGGGGACGAACACTATGCGAAAGACAAGTGGTCGCGCATCGACTGGGAATATGTAAAAGGGAAATTTACCTACTGCCGCATTGTTTATAACGCCGACAACGAGACGGAGGCGAAAAGTTTTGCGAAACCTAAGATTGCGATCGAGAACTCATGCGGTGGCTTCCCGTGGTCAACGATGACTTCGGGGTTGGCGACTCTGTGCCCGCCGTCCCTTCCCCCCCCCTCTCCGGCCTCTCCGCCGGCCTCTCCGCCCTCCCCCGGTGGCGGCGGCGGCGGCGATGGCGACGATCCCTGCTTCTCCCGCGACACGCACGCGTGCCGCCTCCTCGACCCCAAGGCGCGCTCCCTAGGCGGCGAGTCGGACTAGCGAGGCGCCCATTCACACCCGTGCCCCGTGCCCCCGTCCCCGTGAAGTCGAGAACGACCAGCCGATCAGACTCCTCGTTGCGAATGGTCTCCCACTCCTCGAGCGACTGGAGCTGCGACACGCCGCCACGGAGCCGGACCGCCACGCTGAGCACGCCGCGGCGGCGCTGCAGCGCCGCACGTGGGCCCGCGAGCACGGCTGGGCTGCTGCCTTCGCACACCGACGCAATCAAGGCGGCCACGAACCACGAGCTCATACCGGGCGAGTAGAGGCAGACGCAGCACTTTCGAGGTCTCTCAAGGGGGGGGGCGCTCAGGGGGGCGTCCCATCGTCAGAGCTCATGCAACACATTTTTGCGAGGAGAAAGAAAAAGAGAGGCTTTTTTTGGACCA